GGGCAGCTCAGGTTGAGAGCCTGTGGGACAGCCCGTCCCGCCTGAGATTAACATCAGATGGGAAAAGCAATTACATTTTGCACAGGCCAGATCTGCTCGTCCCATTCTCCCTCCCTGCAGGCGATGTCAAAACACGAGGGCAGGATCCTGCTTCTTCTCACGTTTTAAAAACATACAGTGGACTTGTGTTTACAATACTGCCAAGGGATATGACGCGGAACGGCAGAGCGCACCGCCCCCTTGAAGGAGCCACCCTCTCCTCGCCGGGGCTCTCTCCTTCCACCACCACAGCGCTCTCCTTCGGGCTCCAGTTCAGACATTCTTGCCAGGGGATGTTGCTGAGCTTCAGGACTTAAACAATACTATATGTTGTGCAGACAAGCAGCACCAATAACGATCTGCCCCTTGGATCAGAGCCACGGCTGTCTGGTCACCCAGCCTGGGATTCTTCCGGTGGGGAAAGCAGGTTAGGCCTTAGAATTCCAGTTCCAGACCCCGTTTTGTGCTTCTGTGGGGCTTACACATGGGCTTTTTAGTTTTCTTGGCCTCGGCTTCCCCATTGGAGAAATGGCAGAGCTATAAAGCTTTGAGCTCATCCACTGGTTTTCATATTTGTGTGTGTTGCAGTGAGATTTCTTTTTGAAATGTAGTCATGCAGGCAAATTTAAAATATAAAATTGATGAAAGCCAAACTTTCTGGTGAAGGCAGGAGGAGAGGTCTGGGTTACCATCCCTTCTACTCTGGGGGCTCTTCACATTCTCTCTGTGGATTTATTGGGTCCTCAGAACGTGGTTGAATAGATGAGCTCTCAGATCCTTCTGGCTCAAACATTCTGTGATCCCATAAACATGCTATAAATGCTAAGTCACAGTTGTGATTATAAAAATATGTGTGTGTGTGTGTGAGAGAGAGAGAGATTACAGATTACAATTGGGCATTTTATTTTGATCAAGACATTGTATTTTTAACTTACTTTTTTAAAATTGTAAATGTAAGGCATACTGATTCTTAGAAATCAGATTACTGTAAAATAAAAATCACATGAAATCTTGCTCTTCTGAATTGAAATTATGTTGAAATGTGCCTCTGCCACTTACAGGACTTTCCAGGTTAAATGAGTGCAGCCTAAAAGACAAATGGATGAGTCCACTTGGCTTTGCTCTTTGGGAGATGATCATATTTTCTTTCATCTGTGCATTCCTTAACAATAAACAAATCATGTCTGTGTACTGTGACCCAGTTGATTCTTAAAACCAAAGGGAAAAGAAAAGAGATAAAGGAAGTGTGTTTCAGAGAGAGAGAGCGAGAGAAACAGAGAGAGAGAGAGAGAGGGAGAGAGAGAATGCCAGAGATCACACAGTGAGGAAGGGAGGAGTCCAGATGAAACCCCTCAGGTGGCTTCCGTCTGAGACAACGAATCCTTCCCTCACTGCTGCTTGGATTCCTTTTCTTTCTTTTCAGTTTTCTTTTGTTTTGCTGCAATGCTGGGCAGGAGCTTTGTGTTTTCATCTTGACCTGGATTGCCACCTCTACCCCAAATTTATTCCTACACCAATTCCCTGTCCTCAGTTCTCCAGTTCACATCTCAGACTTTCAGAGTCCAGGAGTAGAGCAGCTTTGAAAGCAAATTCACTGTAGGATAAATGATGAATGTGGTCATTGGCACTCAACACCAATACCACCCTTCTTATGTGTGCCATACTGCCCTACAGGGATATAAAGAATGACACTTCCCAGACTCCCTTGCAGCTAGAGTGTGAGCTATGTTTCAGTTAGTAGATACACTCGTTTGACATTTGGAAGGTGGAAGTGAAGCAGCAGCTCCATGTAATTGATGGCAAATCAAACACAAGTCAAGAAGGCTTTCTACTTCCCCTTTAAAGTTTATGAATGGACCCTTTGAGGTCAATTCCTTGAACAACCATCCTCTGCCATACACATGATCTCACTGACTTTCCTGAGTTTCAATTACTTGCCAAGCTGTAAAGTGGAAGTAAGAAGAATACCTACTTCTAGGGACTTTGAATGTCAAATGAGATTATGCCAGGGAAGTAGTCACATGTGGTTGACAGTGTAGAAGCTGAGATATTTAGTTCATTTTTCACTTCTTTGCTCCAGGCCTTGGCACACCTTACCCAGGGATCCAGTCCCTGCCTGAAGTAAACTTAAAGCCAATACTGGAAGAGTGTTTCCCAAACTGTTTCACAGAAAACATGTTACCATCTCCTCAGATACTAGGGTTCCAAGCACACAGTTTGGGAAACATTATCCAAGAATATTATTCCCAGAGAGAACCTTAGAGATCTTTTAATTTACAATCCCTGATTATAGGGAGACTGAGGCCCCAGAAAGGAAAATGACCTTTGTAAGGTTACCTAGCACGCAACTTGTAGGAGCATCCTGGTCTTCTAATTTTTGAGTCAAAAGTCAGGTGCAGTGGCTCACTCCTATAATCCCAGCACTTTGGGAGGCTGAGGGAGGAGAATCACTTGAGGCTAGGAGTTTGAGACCAGCCTTTACAACAGAGTGAGACCTTGTCTCTAGAAAAAAAAAAAATCAAATAATTAGCCAGGCATGGTAATGTGTACCTGTAGTCCCAACTACTCAGTAGGTTGAGGTTGGGAGGATCTCTTAAGCCCAGGAGGTTGAGGATGCAGTGAGCTATGAACATGCCACTATCCTGCAGCCTGGGCAACAGAACAAGATCCTGTTTCAAAAAAAAAAAAAAAAAAAAAAAAAAAAAAAAAAGAAATTAAGGTTGAGAGGAAAAGTTACCAAATTTCTCTGAGCCTTAAATTTCCTATCTGTAAGATGGTTATAATAATGCCTGTTCTTCCTACCACATGTGGGATAAGTGACAATAAAATGTTATTGTGAAAGTACTTTAGAATATATAAATATATGGGGGGAGAGAGAAGAGCCATCCACACACACACAAGCACATTTCAAAAGGCTTTATGCAAAAGTACGGCTTTGTTAATGATCTGCATTTCATTTTGATTCGTTAATTAATTAACCACAGTTTTACTGAGCACCAGCCAGTTGCTATTTCAGTGCTGGCCGTAAGTGGAGAACAAGAGAGACATGGTGGCCACCTTCCTGAGCTGATAATCTGAATAAGGTGGAGCTGGATGGCAGAGGAAGAGACAAAGAGGACAAATATACAACAGATAAACAAGAGAATGTTGGAAAGTGCTGAGTGCTCTGAAGAAGTGAAGTAGGGTGTTGCAATCAAGAGAGATGTGGCGATTTCAGACCAGGTGGTCAGGATGGCCTCTCTGAGTGGGACCTTACGTTGGTCTTAGAAGCAGATGGGAGGATCTAGGAGCAGAGCAGTTCAGGCAGATGGAGGGCTGGAGCAGAGGTTCCAGGTGAGGCAGCAGTGGTGTCAGTTGAGATCCTATAGGGAAAAGAACCCCACATCGCCAAAGGCCACGTAGCCCAGGGCAAGTGGCACGGAGAAAAGGAAATAGGTAGCAGCTTGGAGATCTAAGTTCTAATCCTAGCTTTGCCACAAAGTAGCTGGGTTGCCTTGGACATGCCATAATATAGCCCTGGCCTCAGTTTCCTTGTCTGTCAAATGGGAATACAAATCCTGTCCTTTCCCAGAGGTATGCTATGAGGGGGCATGGAGTAGGCATGACCTGCCTGAAACACCCAGCTCCCATGTGTAGTGATAAAAGCCAATCTGTCTCAGTCCCCTCCAGGAGTCTGTGCTGGAGGGATGAGGGGCCTCCAGGCCATCCACCGACATGCACAATGCAAGCCCTGTGCTGGCCCCATGGACAACAGGCGCATGAGAGAGGGTCTGCTTTTTCTTTTCATGGACTTGAGACTTCAAGCCTTTGGACTGAGTGCCAACAATAATTCATCAGGAACGCTTTACAACTCAGCATTACAAAACCTGTTAGGAGACAGATCGCCCACAGGACAGCCTTTGAGAAGGAAATGTGTTCAGGGCTGGTGACCTCAAGATGATTAATGATTTTTAACAGAGTGAACTCTGTCCTCCCCCTCCCATGTACTGTGTTCACACTCCCTGCCTCCTCTGACTTGTTTGCAGGAGAAAGGGTTGGGGAGAGGGAGGAGGGGAGGGGAAGGAATGGGTGGGAGCAGGGGATGCTTGAAGGCAAAGCCCACCAATCATAAGGAAAATGCAGGAACAAGAGCACTCTGTCAGAAATGCAGAAATGTCTTATTGTTATTGTTTTACTTTTTAAAAATTTATTTATTTTTTGCAAACGCAGCAATGGAGGCTTTATATCTTGAGATCTGTGTAATGTGTCACAACTCCAGTAAGCTTTTTTTGTGTTAGGCTTTTTGCACAGTGCCTTGTGCTTTCAGCCATTGTTGTTATTATTATCACCTCTCCATCCCCACGGACACAAACCTTGATGTTATTGAATATGGGATGTGTTGGAAAAGGTAATCATGATTTTACTTTTTGATTTTTAAAGTCATGGTAACTTGATTTAATGTTATTAGATTTAAAAAATTACAACAGTGATATATGCAGTTTTAACAAACCAAAAATACAGAATTATTGGAAGAAAATTTCTAATCTTTCCCTATACCCTTGTTTAGTCCCAAACCCCTGAGATCATCAATATCAAATCAGGGCAATCCTTTGTAGTACTGTATACATATTAATCCAGAGTGATGTCCTCATACATGATCCTATAGAACATGGATGTTCAAACCAAGAATAATGGCAGGCCTATACAATTTTGAGGGAAAAGCAAATTTATGATGATAAGAAGATGATAGCTAATATTTATTGACTATTTATATTAAAGATACTCTTACATTAACAGTATTCTTTAGAGTACCTTTATATTACAGGTAGTCTGTTCTAGTGCATTACATGTGTTATTTAGATAATAATTACTGTTTATTGGTTACTTACATTAAAGGTACTCTGTTCTAGTGCATTACATGTGTTACCTAATCCTCATAATAGCTATTGAAGGTATTTAGAAATATTCTTCCCACTTCACAGATGAGGAAACTGAGCTATGCAGTCAGCTTGGAAGTTGGAGAACCAGGATTGGAGTTCAGGAGGTCTCACTCTCAGCCCTGTGCTCTGCTGGACGAGCTTTTCTTAATTGTAAGTCTTTCTCATATAATTTTTCCTAAAACTCTGTTTACCTCCCTGAATGTCTGCTTGCAAGTCTTTACAGACAGCAAAATAAATGAGAGGGTAGCAAGTGAGTGATTAAGGATGAAGGTTCCACTCCCCCATACCCTTTGTGATGGCTACTTCCTCTGTGGGTCCTCATTCTGGGTGAGACTCAGTTTCATGAACACGTATATTTTTCTCCTCCTAGAACTGCTTGTAAAGTCTCATTAACCATAAAACCACTTCTTGATATTTTGCCTGACTTTCAGGTGCTTCAGCAACATCCAAATAAGTTTGAGAACCACTCAACTTGACCCTGAGATTTTGTATGAGGTGTGTCAAACTCACTCGTCAGCATGCATCTTGTGATTGTGTTATAAAGGCGGCCACAAGGTCAATATACAGCAACATTTTTAAGAGCACATTATTTTTTTTAACCATTTATATTTTCAGTTTTTTTTTAAATTTTTTATTTTTTCCTTCCAACTTTTATTTTAGGTTCAGGGGGTACATGTGCAGGTTTGTTACATGGGTAAATTACGTATCATGGGGGTCTGGTGTACAGACTACTTCATCATACAGGTACCTGAGCATAGTACCCTATAGGTAGCTTTTTGATCCTCACCCCCCCTTTTACTCTTCACTCTCAAAGAGGCTCCAGCTCACGACTGTAATCCCAGCACTTTGGGAGGCCAAGGCTGGTGGATCACGAGGTCAGGAGATCAAGACCATTCTGGCTAACACAGTGAAACCCTGTCTCTACTAAAAATTTAAAAAAATTAGCCAGCCGTGGCGGCAGGCGCGTGTAGTTCCAGGTACTCGGGAGACTGAGGCGGGAGAATGGCGTGAACCCAGGAGGCGGAGCTGTCAGTGAGCCAAGATCGCGCCACTGCACTCCAGCCTGGGTGACAGAGTGAGACTCCAACTCAAAAAAAGAGGCTCCAATGTCTATTGTTCCTTTCTTTGTGTCCATGGTACTCAATATTTAGCTCCCATTTATAAGTGAGCGTGTGGTATTTGGTTTTCTGTTACCATGTCAATTTTAGGATAATCCTGCTGCATCCATGTTGCCTCAAAGGACATGATTTTGTTCTTTTTTATGGCTGCATGGTATTTCATGGTATATATGTACCACAGTTTCTTTATCCAGTCCACGGTTGATGGGCATCTAGATTGCTTTCATGTCTTTGCTATTGTGAATAGAAGAGCACATGATTTTGAGTTAGGATCTTGTTAAAATCATACCTCTTCCATGTAGTAATTATGTGACATTGGGACTCAGTTTCCTCACCTGTAAATTGGAAATAATTGCACCATTTATTTTATAGGGTTGGAATCAGGATTATTGGAAAAAATATCTGTGAGTAAAACACTTAACACAGGGTGGGGCATGTAGCAAGGACTTAATGCACAGTAGCTGCTGTCAATGAAATCAATAATTTATGATACCTGCTCACATTTTTTCCCTCATCTTCACTAATGCAGTTGGAAGAACCATCATCTGAAACTCATTGATAGTTTCACTTTAGACTGAGTTGATATTACATGACCTTTTACAAGTTTTACAGACCTTGATGCAACTTGGCAGACATTATGGAAAAGGAAAACTGGGCAACTTGTAAAGCACATGATTTGTATACTTTTTAACTGGGGAGCCAGAAGCTAGGAGAGAGGCGTGGAGATGCTTTCTGACAGCCATCAGAAGGAGCCACTCAGACGATAACCTGACGGGTTTCTCTCACATTGGCCAGATCCTGTGAAATGGATCAGTTGAGGTGGGAGCCTTAGTTTAGTTGTTGGATGAGATGTGTTTGTTCTAAAATAAAATTACTAGGCTGGGCCACCCTTTGGAGGATATAAAAGTTCAACCTAAGTCTTAAACATGCACGTTCAGTCTCTGCAGAATAAAGGGCTGTGGGTGAATGAGAGTTTGAACTCAGTTTTCATGGTTTTAGGGGGAGACCTATCCAGGTTACTCTGGTAATGGGAGGTTTAATTTAAGGAACTCACAGTGGACAGACTTTCACAGGAATGCTAGTTTAGCCAAATAAGCAAGATGTTCTTGATCGCACAGTCCTATCAGTAAAAATATTGAGACTGCATGCTAATATACATCTGTGTGTGTGTATGTGTACACTTAATTATAAATTATGTACTATTATAATTTACAAATGTAGCTATTATCGTTAATTAATATCTCAAAGCGCATTATCCATGAGTGAGGTCCATCATTAATGATAGAGGGTCTAACTATGTTTCAAATAGTCTTTGTATCAGTTTTTTTGGGGGGCTGTCATAACAAAGTATCACAAATTGAATGGCTTAACCAACAGAAATTTATGAAGAAAGGCAGACCCTGCTGGTGGGCTGGAAAGGGATGAGTTGTAGCTGTTTGCCACAGGTATGGTTGCAACTGAGGTGATGGGAGCAAATGCAGGCACCAGAGGTATCTCTTGGAGAGGTCCATCTTTCATGCATCTTTTTCCTTCATTCCTACCTCTGCTGCTTTGGTAATGCATTCACAACTTTGGCTAAATACCCATTAATCTTGCCTTTCTCTTGGAGAGTCCATCTTTAGTCCATCTTTTTCCTTCATTCCTACCTCTGCTGCTTTGGTAATGCATTCATCTTGCTGCATCTCTTAGAGGAGTCCATCGTTAGTCCATCTTTTCCCTTCATTCCTACCTCTGCTGCTTTGGTAATGCATTCATCTTGTATCTTGGAGAGTCCATCTTTAGTCCATCTTTTCCTTCATTTCCCATCTTTTTCCTTCATTCCTACCTCTGCTGCTTTGGTAATGCATTCATCTTGTATCTCTTGGTCCCTTCCAGCTGGTGTCTCTATCTCTAGGATTCATGTCCCACTCAGCAGGTTCAGTGATTTTTTTTTCTAAAACAGAGTCCACCACACTAGTCCCTTCTCTTTTGGTGTCCAGTTGTCTGTAGGAGTGGGGCAACCACAGAGATGACAATCATATGGGTTACTGCTCAGATATGCCAAGCTGGGGATTAGCTGTACTTTCCTGAGAGCTAAGAAAGAAAGCATATCAGAATGCAAGTGCAAACAATAACATTTTCTGAAGGATGGCCTCAAATATGCTCTCTTATAAAATAAAATAAAAGTAAGAGAAAAGCCAAGATGGCTGACTAGATGTAACCAGGAAGTACCCCCTCCCACCAAGAGACAAGACCATGGAAAAGAACAGTACACTCTGAGCAGATCTTTGGAAGGAAGGCATTGAGAGTAGATGGAGGGAGGACACAGACCCTGGGCTGAAGGAAGAGGAAGCTGGAAACTGCACAAAGTTGCTGAGTACCAGAACTTGTTCCTGGCCCCAAGTGGCTCCTGGGGAAGAGGTGAATTAAGTAGGCATGGAGTGGCCCATTCTCACCACAGATCTCTGCAATTACAGCTGCAGAAGACTTCATAACCTCCATAGACATTTGAGTTGACAGGGAGAGCTTCTTGGAGAATAAGCAAGAACAGGACTCCAAGCCTGTGTGGAGCCCAGTGTTTGGAGTGGGCATGGCTGCAGTGGAGCATAGCCAGGGATGCCCATTCCTCAAGGTTTGCTGTGCTATTCTAGGTGGCTTTGGCCTTTGTTGACTGTCAGACATGGACGAAACAGGGCTATCTTGCCTGTGGGGTAAGACCAGTTTGATCTGAGCACCCTCTATCTGCTGGCCCCTCCCAGGGTCCCTGTGATTGACCACACCTGCATGCAGTACAGCCTCAGCTGCCCAATGGGGGTGCTTCCCAATGGCCATCTCCATAGCATCTTCACCAGCAAACTCTGCCTAACCATCAGAGAGCTTTGACAGAGACACCCCTGCTGGCATGTGCTCACCTGCAGCTTCCCCCACTCCTTTGCCAGTGTGCGTAGATCTTGCCACCACTCTCCTGCCCCTGCCTTCACAAACATGAATGCAGAGACCCCACAGTGCTGTGGCCCTGCTGCTGTTGGTGTGTGCATCCAAGCATAGATCTTGCTGTCACTAACCCCAACAAAGCACTTTTGCTGGCACTCCCCATCAGAGTGTTGTTGCCAGTGAACTGGAAATAACTTGGCCCCTCCTTGCTACAAGGGGCTAGAGAACAAAGCCTTGGGCCTGGTCCCAGTTCTCCAGAGTTAGAGCATGCAGTCCAGGAGTACTGAGCTGAGCCCTGGCCTCCTGAAATCATCCAGAAACAATGGCAGTTGACTGAACTTAAATTATACCACAGTCACACCCTCAAGGGCTTAAAAAATTGTAAAAGGGAAAAGCCCCATCCAACGGAAAGCAACTTCAAAGATTAAAGGAACATCAGCCCACACAGAGCAGAAAGAATCAGTGCAAGAACTCTGGCAACTCAAAAGCCCTGAGTGCCTTCTTTTCTCCAAATGAGTATACTAGCTCCCCAGCAATGGTTCTTAAACAGACTGAAATGGCTGGAATGACAGTTGTATAATTCAGAATTTGGATAACAATGAAGACCATTGAGATTCAGGAGAAAGTTGATATCCAATCCAAGGAATCTAAGGATTCCAGTAAAATTATAGAAGAGGTGAAAGATGAAGTAGCATTTTAAGAAAAAACCAAACTGATCTGATAGAGTTGAATTACTCACTGTAAGAATTTCATACTCTAACTGTAAGTATTAATAGCAGAATAGACCAAGCTCAAGAAATAATCTCAGAACTCAAAGACCAGTTCTGCAAATTAACTCAGTCAGAAAAAAAGGAAAAAAAAAAAGAATGAACAAAACATCAAAGAAATATGAGATTACATTAAGAGACCAAACCTGTGACTCACTGGTGTCCCTGAAAGAGAGGGAGAGAGGGCAAGCAACTTGGAAAACATATTTGAGGATATTGCTCATAAAAATTTCCCCAACCTCACTAGAGAGGTCAACATTCTAATTCAAGAAATTCAGAGAAACCCTGCAAGGTATTAGACAAGATGACATCCCCAAGACACTTAGTCATCAGATTCTTCAAGGTCCATGCA